ACTTATAGCTCCAGTTCCTCCGTTTAGTTAGTCGCTCATAATCCCATATATTTTCAACCTCTAACAGCACAGAATACATACAAAGCACTTTATTTTTGCACCTTTGATTACAGTATTGCTAATGAATAACAATAATGACTCTTCAAACACTATAGCTGATAGAAACAATTAGAAAAAATGTGTTTAAATTATAAAGCAATCTTAACAAAAGGTAAATTCATAGACGTCTAATTTCTATAGAATATTCTCCAAAACAGAAAGTGCTGGTGATTGAGACAAGTAAACCACGCAGAAAATAAATCAAGTTTTTTGCATGGTTAAGGCTGTATTTCTCTCCATGCAAACCAGGCTAAAACAAGGTGCAAAATTCCCAGAAACCCATAGAGTTAATTCAGCCCAGGTGTTTGCAGTAGGTATATTCCTCCGCTTTGAGAGAAAAACCAAATGATCCTTCAAAAGAAAGCAAAATTACCCTTCTAATTCCAAGCTGTCACTGTAGTAAAAAAACGTTACCAAAAAAACAGTAGGTAAAATATCCTTCTGGAATTTCTGGATATCAGCTGTTCAGAAGTGAACTACTAAGCTCGTATTATAAAGACCCTACCTATCTTGAGTTACCAAGCCACAAGCAGAGCCAGTTGAAGTTGGATCCATTAACGTTACTGGCTGGAATGGAAGCAGGATCACACTGAGCTCATCAGCAGCCTAACTGCAAATGCAGTGACTTAAAAAAAAAAAAAAGAAAGAAAAAATAAAGCTGAGTGTTAACTCCTCTCATACATTCCTTATTCTTTCTTTCTCTAATATACAATTTTGATGATTTAAAAAAATAATCCTGAACTCAAGACTTTCCTTAATGGCTCTATTTAAATATATGTCATCTACATAATACTGCAGATACTCAAGCAGAATTTAAAATTTTGATTTTACAACTGTGCTCATACACACTGCTGAAGAAACAAAAGTATAACGAACCAAAAACCCATCCCAGTCCCTAGTGCTTTGGGCTGCTCCAACCTGCACCACTGACATCTCAGCTCCTGAACAGAGGATAAAATCAGCTCTCAGAGCAGATAAGGAAATAGCTGTCATAATACATATAGGCTTAAGGTTTGTTGCATAATCTCTACAGCAATTAAAATAAACATTCAACAGAATTACAACTATAACCTAATATAAGTTTGAGAGCATCATATTGAGCAAGGCTGAACAGCCATTTCAGGAAGAACCTCGAAGAAAAAAAAAAGAAAGAAAAACCCTCAAGCTAGTCACTGAAACTTTCAAAATTTTATGCTTTCTATCATTTGGGACCTTTGATATTTCTGTAACCTCTACTGCATTTAGAAGAGATGGATTTAAACCCTATTTCAGTCCTGTTCCTCCCAGGGTCAATGGTTGAGATGCAAGAGCTGGAGAAGCTGCTGTAGAAGGACAACCAGCATGCAGCTTGAGAGTTGAAAGCACCAACTGACTGACCCATTTAAGTTACTGCAGCATGACCAGAACAAGTCCACTGTACCACTAGTCTCACTGGCAGCATCTGTGGCCGGCAGAAAGAGGGGAAAAAAAAGAAATGAAACACAGCTGAAAAGATGGAGAAGGATACTTGGACCCTCACCCTGATACCTTCCTGATAACTGCAGCTACAACCTTCAAGAGGAGCAATCCTATTCATGGCAAGTAAGGTTTCTTGTGGCTCCTCTTCTTTATTTCTGCAAAGAGCAGGGGAGAAAGCCTGGAGAGCAGATGAGAGATAATCCTAGGGAGCTGTGCTCATGGTTCACCCAGTAAAAGCACATAGGACTAAAGTTAGGACGTCTTCTACAAAGTTCTGGATCATCTTCTCACTTCTCTGAAAATGAAGAGAGGACATTCCTAGGCAGAGAGAACTGAAATAGGTTTTTATTTCAATTACAAGAAGAGTAATTCATATCCATCTGCTTGACTCTCAAATATCCCTAGCCTTCATCAATAAATCTGGCCTTCCTTTTTTTTTTTTCCCCCCTCCCTTGTCAGGTCTCATCCCATTTTGCAGGACAGTGATGGGAGCAGGGATAACACAGACATTAAAGCATCCTATGCCTCAAACAGTAGAAGACACGTGCCAACTTGCACAATCTAACATGGAAGGCAAGAAGTAAACACAGCACATAGCCTGGTAAGGCAGTAAAGGCCACAGTATCACTAAGTACCTCAAAAGGACTCCCACTTGTGCACTCTCCACCATCTGCAAAGCACTTACTGTATCAAGGAGACAAGATACTGAGAATAACGAGAGACGTAGTATGAAGACTAGAGCATCAATTCCCAAGCTGTGAGGCAAGTCATTTCCAAATGATACATACCCATGTACCAGGAAAAGATTAATAGCAAAGGTGAACACCAACAGCAAAGAGCAGCATCCAGTTTAGGTTGCTGCTGTTTTTTCCCCCTAAAGACGTGCTCTATCTTTAAGACTCAGTTTTTCTTGGAGAGACTCTAACATGAGCACCAGAAAGCCAGACAATCTTTCCATGTACTGTTGCAACGTCAGTCCTAACAAACTAAGACTAATTAGCTTTAGTTTGCACAAATATCACCAGAGTAACTTAACAGTTATAGGGACTTTGGAGATGCAGAAGAGAGATACTGAACTGATTAGAAGGAAAAAAAAAAGTTCTTAGGTAGGTTCTTACTCTGAAGCAGCCCTTCTTCTGAAAAGCAGTATGGTCACCAGAAGAAGTCACCAGAAGTCTCCAGATTCACTCATATCTATCAAAACACAATCTTGACCTGGAAAGGGACTCAAATTGGAGCAACCCAGTATCACTGGTACCTCTCCTCACTCCACTGTCTTCTTCACCTCATTCAAAAAAATACATAAACCAAAGCAAGAGAGAAAAAAAAAAAAGTAAAAATTTTACTTCATTACCTAAAGACAAAAAAAATTAAAAAAAAGCATGAAAAACTCAAAATCCTCAAAAAACCTCCCAAACTCTCCTCTCTAGCTTAAGTGTAACAGTACCTCAACTCTGCTTCAACTGAACTCAGTGGAAAATGAATGGAATTAGTCCTTTAAAAAAGACAGAAAACAGAAGTGTTATACTTAACCACATCACCAGCTCATTGCAAAACCCCCAGAATTTGTGCTTTGGTGCCAAATTAAACCCTCTTCACCTAACAAATACTCTATGACTGTAAGAGAGCAATTGCAACACTAGATGCAAATTGGTTATTGCACAAAATGTGGTATTATTTCCCCTGAACTAAAAATGGTACGTGATAAAGCAACAGATCTTAAGCAGCCTGAGAGGAATTCTGTTTTTGTAGGTCTGACATTGTCCATAAACTCACAGTGGGGACTGTCTGCAGCGATGGTGCTTTATGCTTGTTAAAGAGCCTGTAACGCAACAATCAGACATCATGTACAAACATTTATATCACACGCTACTTGTTGGCTACAGTCAAACACTGCAACCCTTTTCAAATGTGTTTTTAGACTGCAATTGAGAGCCTGCAGTTTTTTACTGGGTTTGGAAAATAAGACTGTTCAAGGCACGTGAAGCTACGGTGAGCCAGGGAAGAGCATAATTATCATTAACACAAACACTGTGAAAAGGACCCGCAACAGCCAATACACTCACTGCTACAGAACAACCCGCCAGGACTACAATGATTCTGTAAACAGAAATACAAATCAAGACACAAAGGCTGATTTCCTATAAATGTAGCAATCCTCATTCAAAAACAGAAGTAGCCATTACCTCCCATACTGTGCACTCTCAGTTTTAAAACAGTATAGATTGTAATTAGTTCCACAAAAGCAAATATAGCTTTCTGAAGTTATTTTGTGCAAGTGAATTGCACATGCACACTGACACTCACACAACACTAAAACAGCTATTCAGTACCCACTTTTCTTTAGGCTAAGGCTGAATATATTCGTTTAAGTTGAATTCACTTTTCTTTAGGAAAAAGAAATGATCCTGTTGTACTAAGATTCTGATTTCTATCAATTCCCATTTGTAAACTTTTTCCAGAGAATTAAAATGAGGCTTCTGCAACTCTTACCCACGAAGTTACGTAGTTACTGCCTCATTATGGTCAGTGATGACTCTACTGAAAATACATTTTTCTCAAAATATCAGACCCGAAACTCTTAGAACATTTTGCAAGTACACAGATATATACACACACACACACGGAAACAATTATATATTTATCCACAAAATGCCATATTCAACACCAAACATTATGTAACATAGATAAATCTTCATTTTTGTCTTTCAAAAACGTTCCTCGTATCCCCACTTGATTTGTTTTTTTAAAATAAGAACTGCTCTCCAAAGTCATTCAGGAATATACTAATATCTAAGGACCTTCATTGGTTATTAGCACGTGTTAAGAGATAATCTAACAATAAGACACAGTTGTCAAAGCACTAAAATAAGTGCAAGTAGCCTAAGAACAAAACTCGATTAACTCATTCTTCTCCAGTTCTCACCCTGAACATTCACACTGATGCATAATACTTCTGATTATCTACGCCACAGAAGGGAGACTAGTTAACAACAAATAAATATATGAAATCCTCTCATGCTAAAATTAATCAATTAAACAGCTTTGGTAACCTAGTATATAGTTAGCTTTGTGTATATATTTTGCAAACATCCTTTCCCCCCCCAAATCCCTATATACCATGTGTATATTTATATAATAACATACATATTTCCTGAGTAAATCGTTAAATCTGGTTATTTGGAAGGTTTGGCAAACGATCGACTGTATATTACTAAAATAGAATTTTAAATAAACATTCAATGAACACATTAAAATAAATATGGAATGTTTTTTGAAAATTATAGTACCATGAACTTATTATATTAATAACCATTTTTAAGTGCATACAAAGTTATATAATTACTGTTTTTTAACCCACTGAGGAATCACTAAACCTAATTTCTAATCCTGAGTGACAACTTTATATCACCTGCTAACGTGGACTTCAACACAATACTAACTGAAAACCTACAAACTCCTTAAATAAGCTTTTTTTTCATAAAACTTTTTGTTACACAGATTATGCTATGAGAAGTCTCGGTTTACATTGGTTTAGCTGGAAACAGAGTTGGCAGCACAACTGCTGAAGCGTTTCACACAATCACCAATTAAACACTGATTATTCTCCTCAAACTGCTAGCGATTACCCGAATGATCAGACTCCCTGTCACAAAATCAGCACAGAAGAGTGAATTAGTGCGTACCGAGTGGCAGGATGCAAGCTATCCAGCAATCACTTTGGCACTTGAGAACTACAGAACGATGCAAAAACAAAAGTAAACCTCCAACCAAATAAAAAACAGCCTGAACAATTATGAAAAATCTTACAAATGGATTTTTTTTTTTTTAAAGCTATGATAAACTGTATGATCAATGAAGAAAGGAGCATTAATTGCTGCCACTCACTGGTTTCTCAGGTCATGGCTTCGGTCGCAGCTGATGCACAGCTCTGGATAAGCAGACAAGGAAATGCTCAGCTACTGTTTAGTTCCTCTTATTAATAAAAATCTTATGTAGCAGACATTGCAATCCCAGCAATATCAAAATTGCATTAACACTATTACAAGACATGTGTCTCAACACTAGAATCACAGTAACAGAATTGCAGCACTGATCAGTTATATTAACCCTTTTTGCTTTTTGATAACCTCTCAAAAATTTTCCATAGCACTATGTACGTCACATTCCCCTTCCCTCCTTACTTGGCCTTCTGCTTCCCCTTTGTTATTATTACTACCTACTTATATATATATATATATTTTTTTTTCTCCCTCCACTATTATTCCAGAATTGTCATCGATCCCTCAGATTCTTCTTTTTGGCTTCCTTTGTTTTCATGTTCCCTGTCGCTTTTTTCTTCTGTGCTTGTGTTTGCAGGACAAAGCTCTTGCAGGGCCCTTTCCACTTCTTGTTTTTCTGGGCTGGTTAAGGAGGTTTTTGGTAAAGTCATCTGTAGTGCACACCATAAAGCAGTACGAGCCTTGCGTGTGGACACAGCCAGCTCCCTTATGGCAACTGCCAGAGCCAGAACATCTATAAGAGAAACAACAAACAAGACACATTAAAAGTAAGACCCACACAGGAAAGTGACTGATAATATTAACGCATTCCAAGTGTTCTGAATTTATTCAAAAATCATCACTCATCTGCAAAATTTGCTCAAGAAATAGTTAACACTGTACCCTGGCATTGGTTAAAATCCAGTCCCTACAGTCCACAGCAGCACACGTTCTCACTAATAATCCTGCACACTAAACAAGGATGTTCACCTTCCAGCAGAGGAAGGAATCTTGCACAAACATTTATGATTCCTAACTACTTATTTTTATAAGTAGAGTCTGCAGAGAAGTATAATGGGTAAAACTCCTAGGCTGACTGCAGACAGATGAGCTCGGTGCATCCATTCCCTCCTCCTTTCATTCCCTTTCAGTAGCTCTGATGACGTGTCTGGCCTTTCAGCAAGTAAAGGTTCATGCTGATGTTTCCATACATGTTCACTGACAGTGACAATCAAAAAAGTCACCATTACCCCTAGGAGGCTACTTGACAGTATTTGTAGTTATAGAGACCATATAGGACGGTTCTGATAACGATTCCTCCAAGTATCTTCACTGTACAGTCAAAATCAGGTCATTAAAAACACAGTTTGTGGGATGTTTCTTTTGCTAAGATGACAACTTAACTACTTCTTAGCCTATAGTTGGGCTAATTAGGGTTAATGCAAAAGGTTATTTGGCTAAAAGACTATTACTTTCAAGTATATATGATATTATATATGATTTATGATTTTTATACCATTTTCTTGCAAGAAAAATCCTACAATATTGCTTCAAGTCAAGCAAACTACACAGTATCAGCATTACTGCAGCAATAGGAAGGTAAAGGCAGAGCTCAGTAAGGATCCAGAACTGGAAAAGTGAAGAAAAAGAGTTGGTTTCTCTCTGGAAACCCTTCTCTGAGCAGTAAATCTAGTCTGATGAAAATGAGTATATTCTTAACCTTCAAAATGCATTTTCACAATTGACATTTGAGTTGATATCCAGAGCTAAAGGAACAGAAGACATTTACCTTTTTCATTATTATAACGTGGTGCTCCGTGTCTCTGTGGATTAGCAGCATTAACAATCTCATCCTTACGCCTCGCTTGTGTAACATGGATGGCTTCCAAATGATGTTCTAAAGTAGTGGATATGTTTCCATGGACCGGGGTGCCACGAAGCCTTTCCATTTTTCCTATTAAGGTCAATACCTACCAGGCACACCAAAAACACCAAAAAAAGGAATCACTATGTTCATTATAATCTTCCATTTAAACAACAACACTACAAAACAAACAAAAAAGCAACAAGAACAAAAAAATCAGCACGTACAAACACCTGAGAGGAGGATGCAAGGAGGAAGGGGCCAAATTCTTAATGGTAGCCAGTAATATGACAAGAGACAAAGGGTACAAGCTGAAACACAGGAAGTTCCATCTGCATGTGAGGAAGAACTTCTCTCCTGTGAAGGTGCCAGAGCCCTGGAACAGGCTGCCCAGGGAGGTTGTGGAGTCTCCTTCTCTGGAGGTCTTCAAAACCCGCCTGGATGCCGCCCTGTGCCACATGCTCTGGGTGTCCCTGCTTGAGCAGGGGTGTTGGACTAGGTCATCTCTAGAGGTCCCTTCCAATCTTAACCATTCTGTGATTCTGTGATAAAAAAAATCACCTGGTATAACAAATCAAAGACAATATATCAAGATAACTTACTCTGGCTTGTTCTCGTAACTGGTCTACAATCAAGCGATCCACTCGGGATGGGTTAGCAGGGAGTCGGGACACAGGAGCGTTATTGGAGCTTGACACACGCTTTCCCGGGAAGTTTCTTGCAAGGTCAGCCTCGGTCTGAAGAGAAAACAGATGACTCTTAAATCTGCGAAATTAGTACTATATTACAATCTACATTTTTTGGGGTGGGGCTTCAAATACACAGGCATGTGCTTACTAGCTTCCTAGTCCTCAAATATCTGTATCCAGATGCTGAGCCAGCTGTTGTAAGAACATTAATACTTCTCTAATTCAGCTGTATCTCAAAGCAAGATTTTCAAAAGGTAACATTTAGGATCAGAGTGCACAACTACATATTTAAATATTTTAATCAGTCTTGGACACAGACGTAGGCAGGAAATTCTTGCACTGTATTCCATGAATTTAAATTACACTTCTCACTGCATCTCTCAAATGTCAATTATTATGATTATAAACAGCAGAAACAATTACTGGTCATACCTGCTGGCATCAATTCTGAAAAAAAAGTCATATTTAGTATAGCTGACCTACTAAGAAAGAAGCTGACAAAAGTCACTATTCAATGCAGACAGTGACTAAGCACAGCTAAACCTATTTTTGGACAGCAACCTCTTATACTTGTTATATAAAACCACTATTAGTTTTTTATCTTGCTCTGCCTTTCCACCTTCATTGTCAATGGAGAAGTGCAGAGCATCAGCTCTGGTGTTTGTACTGGGAAAACAGTAGAAACCAGATATTGGAAAATAAAAACAGATGTTAGCAAATAAAAAAAAAGCATGTTTCACATAGAAATCGCACTTTACAACTCTTAATATCATCTAAAGGCATCAGTAAGCAACAAGATAGGCAATTTTTATACTCTATTTAGATCTCCAAAAGGTTATTAACAAGGTCTCAGTGTAAACTGCTGATGCCGAAGGGGAAAGATGCTCTGCAGAGAGCCAGTTTGGTCAGACAGGAGACAAGGAGCTTCCCCAACACAGTGGGACAGAGAGGCCTTCAGACAGTGTAAAATAGGACTGTGTACGATGACGAAAATATCCCAGCTTCAGAGATCCGATATGAAGTTGAGAGGTTTGATTGTTTCTGGGTTTGTATTTCCTGATCCCTTTGAACTTCAATTCTCAGGTATAAATACACTTGTGAGCAGAATAACACCTTCATGGAAAACAGTTCTGAATGCTAGGAACCAAGGCAGGAAAGTAACTGTAAGGAGAAGGGATAAACTGAAGCCTCTAGGAAATGGCAAACTCACTCAAAGCACTTGCTGTTTTCTCCGTCGTCTCAGACTCCTCGGGATTATTTTCAATGTTCAATTTGACTTTTTTCCCCCCAAATGTTGGTTAACAGAAAGAAAAGCTCTTAGCAGTGCTAACCCAGTGGAAAGGGACATCACAAGCTGAACCCCAAAGTCACACGCACGATTTCAAAGTGGTACCAAACAATGCAAATGCTGTCCTTAAAACAGATGATACACACGGTACTTTAAATATTTTAAACTCATTTAACTTAGTAGAAATTTTTGCTTCTCAAAGAGAGGCGACAGACCAGAATACCTATTTTCTATGGTTGCTTTTTGCAATCATGACCTTACATTGAAAAAATATATATGTGTGTGTTCATATATATATATAAAATATATATTTTACCTTTTTTCTTTCTTTCTCCAAAGCTCTCCACTGCTCATAACACTCTTCCAGTCGAGTATGAAGTTCATTAGCAGGTCCACTGCGATTCCTTGGAGGTCTGTATTTGTTAAATGGTGATGGAAAGGCAAAGTATGGTGCAGTTATTTCCCCACAAAACAGATCACCGATGAAGGGATTCAACTGGTTAAAATCATCATAGTGAAAAAGGTCAACCAAGTCCGAGAATGGAAAGGGAGAAGGAGTAAAACTGAAATTATTTGCTGATGAAAACAGATGGCGATTAAATGCAGGAAAGTTGGGATTTTGCTTAAAATCAGACATTAATGGGAAAGAAGGAAGAAAAGAAGGACTGATGAAATCTGACATGCCGTCACCATTCTGTTCTTGCTTTTTTTGGAATGTATTGAACTGCTGGCGATTTTGGGCTGTATACCCAAAATGAGGGATCCAGTTCCTTCTGTTTCTTCTATCATCTTTATTACTATTCTCCAGGGTTGGCTTTTTCTGAAATCTAGGGTACTTCTCAGAGTCTTCATTAACACAGCTTTGCTGCCTTAACCATCCAGATGAAAAATTAACAGGAAATTTACGGTGTTGCCCCTCCTTATTAGTCAAGGAATCATGGTACGAGCGTCCAAAAGGCTTCATTTGTTTATGGTTTTCTGCGATGAAATTAGAAACACCCAAATTATTAGAAATGCCATTGGATACTTGTAGCCTTCCATCTTTCCTTGCAGAGGGGGCAGGTGAAATCTGTGAGTAATAAGAGGACTGCGTTATGGACTGATGGGTGGGAGAGCCACCAGACATGGTCGAAACCCCTGAAGATGACTGTGGGCTTGTTATGAGTTGTTTTTGATAAGCAAAATCTGATGCAGCTGTGGGACATGCAGTTTTCCCATCCAGCCACGAATGCCCATGGTATGATGAGTAACTCCCATTTTGTACAGCGTCTTTCACAGATGAATCATACTCAGAAATTTTATGCAAAAATTCTTTAGGATTAAGATGGATTTTACATTCATTATTATTAAAAGCATCCCCCAAAGTAAAGGTATTATGACCATTTTGCACGTGGGCTTCCTGTGGTTTTCTGTTTGCACCTCCAGAAAAATGATTTTCTTTAGGTGGCTGATTAAAAAAATATAGAGGTGGAGGAAGAGATGACTGTGATTTATGAGCAGGTGTAAAGTCTTCATATCTTTTAGAAATCAAGTGGTTATCCTGAGATACTCGACCCCAAGAGTCATCAACAGGCTGGTTAGAGAGCTCAGGGGAGTACTTTGCTTGTTCTTGTGCATCATTTTTCACAATTTCACCTCTTGATCTTTCAGTTTTCCAAAATTCTTTCTGAAAGTTGGTGCCCTCTTTAATCTGGTTTTGAGAGGAAAAGGTGCTAAAATTGGAACTGACCTTGTCACAGTCTCTGTTTAACTTCACATCATAATTACACACATGCTGGTTATGGTCCACATTCTGCAATGAAAACCCTTCTTGCTGAATTACAGTATTATTTTGGAAAGAGGAATTTTCAGAGTAGATGTTCCTCAAGAAATTAATATTATCAGGCTGAGTGTAAGAGTCAGAGGGAGAAAGCCAGGACTCTATGAGATGAAGATCTTCAAGTCCTCTCTGTAACATCTCCACATCACGTGGCTTCTGCAAATGGTCTTGATAGTTGCTCTGCGTTCCAATCAGGTCTGAAAAATCCTTACTTTCAACGGAGTGCTGAGATGAAAACCCTGAGAATTCACCACTGTTTCTGAGATCAGGTGCCCACACAGGTGGAAATAATCTTGAGAGAGAATTCCTGGAATAAAATTAGATAAACCATCAGGAATCACTGAACACACTTCTTACACTGCAACAGCTCACACTTCAGGGTTATTTTCCCCACTCTGAGGTGTTTAAACATCTTTTATATCTTTGACTTAACATATATTGATCTGATACAAAATTTAAATGGGGAAGGGGGGAAAAACGCTGCAATGACTAAATGCTCTAACAGAGTAATTGAAAATCTCACTAGTGCTGTTCTCTAATATTAATCATTTTGTCTACTATAGTCTTAAACTCTTTCTTATATTTAGTGTGCAAAGATGTAGTGTACTAGAACATAATCTTCATAGTCCCCTCCATCCAATTCCAGGAATGTTGTATAGATTGAAATTAGAAAGGTAAGAAAACAAGCCAATTGATTTTTACATTACATAAAGCATGTGAAGCAACCTGACCCTTGGCTTGATCATGCTTAGAGGCTAAAAAGGTAGGAGACAGACACATTAACCCTTATGAATAGTTTGGTTTGGATCATGCTGTTAAATTTTATTTTTAGGATATATATTTTATTTCCACGTTTAATAAACTTATGAAAAGGGCAGCTAAAATCACTTCTAAAGAAACACTTCACCATTTTAATGGATTTTAACTGAATTTTAACTTTAAATTATGCCCTTTTTCATTCAATTCCAAGAAACCATGCAAAAGGCGTATCATACATTAGTAACAAACAGAATAAGAGAAATGATAGGCAACATAAGGACTTTCAGAATAAACTTACCAATCTGTAACTGGTTCTGGCTTGTTTGGCTCCTCTAAAATACTTGTCACTAGCCCAAACATATCAGGGCCATTGCCAGAATATGAGAGATTTATCTGTGCCCTGAAAAAGAATAAAACATCTAGATATGAGTTTACAAAACAGGCATAGTGTAGCATGATTTTAGCTTTCATTTATTATAGGACTATTTGTTAAAAATGTTGTGCCTTTAAGGTATCTGCAATACCCATATAGTGAGAATTCCTCAGTAAATGTCTAAGTAAATGTTTATTTTATATTCTAAAAGAGCTAGAAGAATTTTCTTTTATCATTTCCTACTTTCCTGTCTTCTTGCTTCACTGGAGAAGTCTCTAGCTACTCTATACAAAGGTGCTATCAAAAAATTCTTCTGTAAGCCTTAAAAACTGATTTATTATTTTTGATACGGAAGATTATTTTAATCTTTAAAAATAACATAAGTATATTTAAATAAGATGCTAATTGAATCAATTTTATCCTCCTTATTCAAAAGCAATTGATCTAGGTTGTATTAAATATTTCAGATAAACTCTGAAGACATTCAACCACCACTTTCCTTATGCAATCCCAACTTCTGTCTTTAATTTCAGTTTTAGAATGAGATATTTATGGAACTGCTTACAAATAAATGTAGAATTCACAATAGATAATTAGATCTCTGCAGTTTCTGAGTTGAAGCTCTTTTTTCCTTCTTCTTTAGGAACAAGCTCTAGATATATTTTGGGGGTTTTTTTGGTATGTGTGCATGCACGCAACCACCTGGAGATTATAGGTGGAAGTTACATATAGCAGATTATCAATGAGAAAGGGAAAGTAACCAGAGTCAACCAACAAAGCAGTATGAGGAAAATACAATGCAAATGCTGATCATTTTAGAACTGCAGACAGGGCAGTAGCAGGAAGCTAGATGCACTGCAGAATTAAACCTCCCTAATAAAGCAAAGAGAAGCTGCCCCCTTAAGGAATCTTTTTCTCCAGGCAGGTAGCAGTTGCAGCAGAGTCAGAAACACCCCCTTGTGTCTCATGCAAGTACTTTCCACTACCAGCAATATGCAAAGTCTTGGCACTGTAACATACAAAGGACTATCTTAAACTTCTAAAAATCCTGGCAAAATAATCCTGGTGATTAAATGAGAATTTATGAAAATTTAATAAATAAATGAGAGTTAAGAGAAGAGCAAAGTTACATTTTCCTACACATAATAGAGCTAGGCAGCAAGAACTCTACAATACTATGAGGGGAAAAAAAAAGCAACTTCAATACTGCACATCTCCATTCTCAGTGGAGAAAACACATGCGTTAACATTACTTATTTGTTTAGCTCTTTGAATCACTTTTGTTTAAGCTACCTTCTATTTGCTATCTTACAATAACCTAGAGGCTGCTTTTAGGAAAAGATTGTATTTTATTAGCAGCTTGCCAGTCTAAGATGAAGCTTAGCACTTAACAGCTACTAATAGAGGTCTTTTATTCAAAAGAATAAAAAAAGTGTTCTCTTTCAACCCTTATGAATCAGTAGACTCTCTCAGCACCCCAAACTGTTTCAGGTATCAATAAAAAAATGAGTATGGCATTAGAAATGATGTCAGAAATACTAGTTAAGTCATCATAGGTAGCAAGTGTCAAAAACTATTGTGCCAGCTGGCATCAATCAACTCCCCTAAATAAGGAGATATTTGCCAGTAAGATTAAGATATTAAGTTGGAAAGAAAAGCAAGCAGGATGCCTAAGGCTAAATTACTGTTAACACATCTCTAAAGCTGGAAGAGTTTTAACATTATTTCAATTCCTGTACACAAACCCTAAAGTGACCAATATAAGAGCAAGAACACCCAATTATATAAAAGAAAAAAAGGTCATTTTATTTATTCTGTACTAGCATGCAAGCTTTCAAATCTTTGTCTAGCATTGTCGCCCTTCTCTACACCTTTTATAATTTCATTATGTTATTAAGATTGGATCATCACAAATAGTTGCAACATCCTGGAACATTCAAGATTTTGTCCAGTGTAACAGAAGTGTTCTGGTTTGGTCTTAAGTTCTTGAGATTTATCAACAAAATTATTTGCTTTTCCGGCAAATACTAAGCTCTGAAGTGATCTCTCCAAAGCAGGAGAAGAGGACTCCATGAAAAGTCAAAAGCAAGTCTGAAAAGAAAGAATAAGCTGTGTTTTATGATTAAATTTTATCTGGATTCCCAATCTTAAGTCAATTAAAATTTAAAGTAAACAGCCAAAGTGATCCTTCTCTCTTCATGGAACATTCCAAGCTTTTAATTATGGGAAAATAGATTTTTTTTAATCTAAGAAAAAGTTCAACATGAAAAAAAAACTTCACTACCAAAAAAAAAAAAAAAAAAAAAAAAAAAAAAAGTTTGTTTATTGGGCTACATAAACCACTTAGAAAACTAGTTATTTTTAAATTGACAAACAAGTTCACTTATGTACTTGGAATGCACGATTCGAGTAACATGGAGACTTTGAATTCTTTAAGCTTTCGAAAGCATGAAGCTCTTTCTCTTGCTTGAGAGTATTATGTCAAGGACATTATGCCAAAGGGTGGTTATTACAGAAATTTGATGCATTTTCAAGGATAGCTATATACATATTTATGCTCTCAGAAGAAAATAGCTACCCACGCACATCTGTCCTGTGTCTAACACACTGTGTTACTGATGTTCCAGGAAATACTCTGTGTCATCAAGCAGCATCAAGAAGATCTATAGTACTGAGGGGTGGGATGTAGGGGAGAAGAGACAGAGGTCCTTTTAAAGCACTCCAATTACATATTACTGGTTCCCATTTCATTCCCCCAACACAACATTCATATCCAATTTTAAATGTACATATGTTCATACACACACATTTTACAGTTTTATGCATATATTTATAGAACCTATACATACCTCTTATTTTATACAAGCTCCATTATAAATTATCTTTATTGTATAATGCTTACCGAGTTTCCTGCAACGTAGTTAATGCATAACTTCTTCCTGAAGAGATCTGGAATGCAACTTGGGCTGCCCAATAACAACTTAAATTTTCTAAAGTAGCCCCATAAGATTATAGCAAGAAGGTTCATACCTTTTTTTTGTGCAGTCTTGAAAGGTAGTTTTTGTGCTGATATCCTCTCCACATGCAGCCCAGTCACTATACAAATGTGAAGATTCTAGTGGAGGTGGAGTGTTAGTAATCGTTCCTAATAATGGGGAGAATAACTGAGTGTCCATTTTCTGTTTCTTACTATTTACCTATGTGGAAAAAAGGAAGAAAAATTAAAATGTTAGATTTTACGTAAATAAGCAGCAAAGTCAAAGTACAACCTTTTTATATCTTGATCTAAATGATTTCTCAGGAAAGTGAAATGTATTCTAATTAAGCAGATATAATAGAGGATACAATCTAAAAAAAAAAAAATCATTTAAGTAAACTCTCCTCTCACTTTAAGGTTAGTTTCATAAAACACATTATAGTTAAATATTTAACAATCACCATTCAGAAAATGAGCAATAGGAGACATAAGTGACAACGATGAACTCTACCTAATTATCAAGCACAGAGCTCCCTCAACAGCAGCTGTTATTTATAAAGGTTTAGGCAAAATGAGAAATACAGAGGCTGAAAGGAACCTTTTTGATTCTTCTTCAATTCTTTGGAATCATCTAGTCTAATTGCCTGCTCAGAGCAGACACCATCACATCTCCCACATCTCTGCAATGTGACTACAAAGATAGCACAAGAGCAACTGTCAAAGACAGTTTGTACAGCAGTCCTACACCACTCATGCCTTGGGCCACAGATGAAGAATAAGATTATCTGTTAAAATACAGTTTATCCTGGGCACCGCTGCACTGTGCACCTCTTTCTGGAACGTGAAAGAAAAAACAATGCAGTAAAGGTTTATCAATTTCTATAAACTTGCCTTGCACATCCATACAAATCCCTACCAAATAACATAAATTAAGATGATATAACCAGAAAAAGGCTGGACCCACATTCTGTAACATTCAGTAAGAGTGGAGTGTTTGCATGTCTATCAGTAAATAAACACAAATGCTTCCTTGCTCGAAGGCTAGAAATCTCATAGTGCATGTGTGATACAACTGAACTTTTACCCTTCAGATCAAGAGGCAGTATCCAAACCAGCTGCTCCAAATGCCTCCTCACTTGCTCTGATTCTTGAACTACACATAGAATTGTTTAGGAAAGCATTAGCAAGGCCAAAACTCTATTAACAACTTAGCAACATCAATGATCACACGCACCTGTGCCTTGGTCTCGTTTAGTCTACTGGAAATCAACACACACATTATGCTCCATAGCTAAAGCATAAAATATTTCTGCATAGCCTAAAAATAGGAGCTGTTATTAATGGATTATCTTATTTTCAGAGCCATTAGTCACTGCTTATGTGAGTTGTGCAGGACGATGTGACTAAAGCCCAGTAGATGAGGTACTTCGTGTACCCTAGATACAGCCTCATCAGTCAGCACTTCCAAAACAGTGGAGACTCATTCTAGCTAGTTAAGATAAACCTGAGAAACTCATCTGGGCTTTAAAGATGAAATAACAAGTTACAGTAAAAGACAGAAAACATTATTCCATCTCTTCCAGTAGTACACTTTAATTTCAAAACTCTTCATTCAATTTCAGGTAGACCAGTAACCTGAATAACTGGCTTTGCAAGGAAAGGACTGCCTGAGGAGTAACAGGCTTCAATCAAAACTCTAACTTTAAATGAAAGAACAAAATGCAATTTCAAAATCAAGTGACAACTCTCACGGTGTTTGGTAGGGCTCTGCACTCTCCCTACCCTCACAAAGAGGCAATATCCTCATTAAGTTACCTCTCTGACCATCAACAACATAAAAAAAATACTTAAAACTAAAAACCTGGACACATTACTTGAGTGGACTTTTTCCCCCCCCTCTAACGTGTAATGAGATGCAATTTCTGTTAATTCTTGACAAATGGAAAACGTGAATGTGCTAAATTTTCTCCCAGCAAACATAATTGACCGTATATACACACATTTCTTTGATATGTCTACCACTGTGGTTAAATCACACTGGATGCACATATGCAAATAATGCACAAATGCACATAAAAGTGCTTCTATTTTTTGCGGGAAGTTCTTTACACAAGTCAAGTATAAACATAAACTCAAGCATTTATCAAAAACATTCACCACTTCCAAAAGCCCCCATCCTAACTTGTCACATTCAGAAGTACTGGTAAGGTTCCTTTTATTTTGGAATAAATTAACACAATTGTATTGGTGCCAGTGAAATTGTATCAATGCAACTGTAAATACACATGAAATACTATCCAAGTTAGTAGTCATTGATATCATTAGGGCATTTGTGATTCAAGTCTTGTGCACCACTGTGCACTGCTAATACTGACCCAAAGCTGACCCACTTTGCCCCAAATCCCAGTGCTTCCCACTACCTTGTCCTGCAAATACAGGATAAATTTTCCCCAGAAAGAGGTTTCTGCCTCATCCTCATTATTTGATATGAACATGCAGTAGACACAAACATCTATAATCTTCTGAAAAGCCTCTGATCCTTTGAGCAAAGCTTTAGCAGCACTGGGACCAAAATTCAGATTCAGGGATCATTCCTCATTACTGATTATTTAACAAGTTCTCTAGCTATGTGCTGGAAACAATTCAAAACTGTAACCTCACATTGAGGCAGTTACAGCTGCTGACAGACTAGCAAAAGCCTCTCAAGCAGAATGGAGAAGTTTTAGGAACTTTCATTCATTATGTGCAAAACAACAACAACAAACAAACAGAAACACCACCACCACCATCACCTATGAACAGTATGCAATGTTTGGGAGATCCAGAGTATCTTATTGAAATATAGCATTAGAGGAAGTGGAGTATAAAAAAAGATTCCAGTGAGATGTTGCTCTTCCTATTCAGAGGCAGGAACAATCTATATTTTACAGAGGGCCACAGTAATAGCATTCTCTGAAAGAATATGTTTTAAACTAAAATAAAACATAACCACAGAAATTTCTGCTTTGTGGCTTACAAATAATTTAAAGAAATAAGACTTGCACATAGAACAGCAAAAGTTATCTATCAAAGTACTAAATTTCCTCAAAAAAAGACCAAACACCATTCAGGATGCATTGCTATTCATTTTCTGAAACTGAAACCAATTAAACATACTTCTATAAGCCCATTTCTTGTATTATCTGAAAAACTATCCAACAGGACAAGCAAACAGACAATGTGGACATAGGAAAACTATTCCTAGGGAAGAAAACAGATCACCTGTTAAGAACTCTTAGACCTGCAGACAGAAAAATAAATAAAAAAGGTAGATTACTGGAGACATGCTTCTGTATCCCAACTTCATGTTAAATGGCCAATTGAAAGGGAAATGTTTCCTTTATTCATAGGCTATTGGGCATTGCCTTTTTAGTCAATTATTTATTATTTTTTAAGTAACTCAAAGCCACCATACAAAATGGGGAACAGCTGACTGCCACGAATAGAGGAGAAACAGACACACATACAACAAAGAGATCTCCATCTGTAGTGCAGAATTCTGTCCAGATTTCTTACAGATTGTTATTTTGCACACTTAGTTAGAACACACAATAGCCCAAAAAAATATTGATTCCTGTTTACCTACACAACCACTTTTTTGAACTCACCTGTGGCTTGTAATGACCAAGCACAGCACTTTGTTTGACCATGTCCTTGTTGTCAGTACACAAGGTCTCTTCTCTGAAGTATGCAGTGTTGCCATATGGACAGCAGTTTAGGCTCTTAAACACAGATTTAGCCTAATTAAAAAGAGAGAAAAAAATAAAGTTACAAAGGAACAATTATCAGGACTATCAAAGTTTAACTTACGCTGCATGAAACTCATTTCTAGCTACTCCTCATCGCTCTTCCCACCTCCTTTCCACGTCACACCACCCACGACTATGCCAATACCACCTACATCTCACACATTTACAGAATAGCGATGGCATTTCTTTATTGTTGAGAGATCCCACACGACAAAACAGCTCATCTCATACTAGCTGACCACAGGTCACATGAAGTCCTGAAATGGGATCGTGTTGGGAGAGACAGTAACAGGAAAAAGCCAGGGAGAAGGAGCACGTATAGATGGATATATTGTGTAGCTGCACATCTGCTGCTGCACGATGCCACTCTGGGGTACACGTCCATGCAGAACAGAACATCCATCCTCATTACATGTGAAAACAAGTACTCCAGCCCACACAAACTTTAGGGCTCTTCTGCATCTTTGCTAACTTGTAGCTTATGCCAACAGCAAGGGCAAAGTAGTTCCTGACGCGCAATGATATCCAAAAACAAAAGCATGTTCCTGGGAACACTCAAAGTATAATGTACTGATTCTGTAAATCCTTTTCCGTGCTCTCTGGACCTGCATTTACACGTGTTACAACCACATATGCTTCCCTTAATGAAAAAGGGATTATCAAATCACCAGTGCCTAGTGCCATGCCCATGGGCTGCATGTGGGACACTTCTCCAACTTCACCCATTTCCACTGCGTGTCGCAGCAAAACAGCGGCCAAGATCAGCAAGTCCATGCACTATATAAACATAAGGTTCTGTGGTTTTATTTACTGGAAGTTCCGTGAAACATCCACATGGTTATTGGGATGTTTTTTGAAAGTACTGCACTTGCCACTTCTGCACTAACAGGTCCTTCAATCACGTGTAACGCCACACCAGGCTTCTAGCAAGGGAGGAGCTGCCAATTTTATCGTATAGTTTCCTCTCAGAACCAGCACTATTTCTATACCATCCATAATTATTCCTTCAGGCCACATGCCTTCACAGAGCTTTTAACTGCTTGTGATTTATTAGCTGTTCTTCCACCAGGGCAGGCTTAATGAAACACAATTAACTAATCACTGCATCAGCAAACTTTGTAAGGACTTCATAACTTTAAAATAGAAGCACACTAAGTGTTAGTGGGAATTGGAAACCCCAAACAATCCATTTATACTTCAGAATAGGAATTGAATGGATAGTGCTTCAAATATGGGAAACATTCAAAGCAACACAGACGCTATGTTTGGCTTCACAACCTATGCGAGTGTCCGAATGTAATTTAAAGTTTACATAGCTGTTGGAGTAAGATAAGAGGGCTACCTCTCTTCTCTAGCCAATATGCCTTCTTTCAGAAAAGAAAAACAGATTTTCAGTGCTAACTTTCCACAAGCCATTACTTAGCGTTTAGGGACTGAAATAAACCCAAGCTTATTGTGCTCCTGGTAAGTAATTCATTCCTAGAAAAGCCTTTCAGGATATCTTAAGCATATGAGGTGCTACGTTATGGCATAGCTAGAAGCAAACGCATTAGTTAAAAACACACTGCCAGCTTGCATTTTCTTAAAACAAGCAAAAGAAGTCACTCACTGAGTATTTTTCAGTGTCATTGCCCGCGTTTCTCTAACTGGTTCAAAAAGGTCAAGCAAAAAGAGCAAATGGCAACAAGAACAACACAAGGAAGCAGATGAAGCAGAAGGTGAAGTTGCTTCCCAGGCATTCATGCCCTATCCCAAGCTGATCCTAACAGCAGCCGTTTCCACGGCACATTCCAGAGAGGCCTCAGCAGCCTCTCCACTCGCTCCCAACTCATCCAGCCTCTAAAGGAGCACTGTAGCAGCCCACACAAAACCACTGCAATCATATTAAGGCCTTTCTCTACTTCTATGGCATTTACAGAATTTGTTTTTTGCCAAGACATCTACATCTCCTCCTTCAGGAGGCAGGTTTCGTTTATAAGACATCATAACGAGTAACCCCCAACCTCAAAAGAAAAATAAGCAAACAAAAAAACACCTTCATGAAACAGTGCCATGAAGTTACCAATTTTAAGAACAATGAACAACTTAGTTGCAAAAGGCCATTATCCAAAAGTTCAAATTTAGGACTAATAACAAGGTTTTACTTATGGGGGGGGGAACCCACTTTAACTATATTTATCTCTAAACAGTCTCAAAAAAAAAAAAAAAAACTACTCTGAGTAGGAAAACATATGTTTATGTATTCGAACAGCAGATTTCATGTTCCCTGCAGGCTCCAAGTAGACAGAACAGAGCTTCATGTTTGCTAGCTGTGTGTGTCCACTCTTACTTTGGAGTAATACCTCACATCCCACTATCTTCTGGTAGAAAAGGAAAACACCAGGAGCATCAAATAAACTCAACCTGAGTTCTTAACTTCTGCCCACTTTAGAAAGTCAAATAGTCAGAAGGAAGTTTATGTGCAGTCACAATTTTTTCGTTACATCATTTCAAGTATTTCTTCAGAAGAGGATTCAAAATATTTTAAGTATATCTTTTATTTTGGGAATATAAAATTCCAGCTGGTGGCTAGATACTCCATCTATCAAACTGAATCTGGAAAAAAATACCTAGTACCATTTAAATTCCACTTAAAAAAGACAATGTTCCAAAAGTATTCTGAAGTTGCTTTTAAACTACTTTAAAAGCAATGAAATTGTTAGTTAATGTGTCGAAAGAATTTAAAGTTACAAACTTGTAAACAAGAGATTTATAATCTGTACAAAGATCCCTATATATATATACACACACACTGTATGTAGACATTTTAACTTATTATATAGCAATTCAGTCTTATTTTCATTAGCCTGCTTTGATCAGATATAAAGCTACTTTCCCCACTTGACTACTTCCTCAGTTTGTGAAATGCAAGTAATAGAGGTCTCAGATTGCAGACTTATGTAAATATTGCCACAATACCACTTAACAGCCTCAACTGCAGAACACAGAAAGAAAGGGGGAAACTATTACCTGGCTGAAAAGTTAAGTTACACAGAGTAGGGATGGCAGCAAGTATTCCCAAGTTTCCTGACCTCTCCGTAAGTCTCTCCTTGTTGTCTCTCAAAAGGCGCTGATGGTGAACACCGAGAGACACTTGCATTTGGACAACTGTGTTTTGTCAGGCATTCATAATACACAATCATTCAACAATCAATAAATTCTACATACAACCTAAGCTCCCTCTGCAAGAACCAACTTCCACGCAAGACAAACCTGCGCTGCTGGTGCCACCAGCCATTCCCTGTGTGCAGCCCTCGCACCCACACAGGCCACCGAGGAAGCAGCTGATCGCGCTGCTTCCGAGCGCGGCGGAGTCGTCGTCCCTCGTTTCCCTTCCCTAATGTTGCTGCCATGGGACGCCCTCAGTTACTCTGCGCACACAGAAACTGTTGCCAGGCTCTGGACAGCGTCTCTACTCCACCCATTGGAGCTGCTGGACAAACACAGCAGAAAACGGGCAGATTTCGGACTGTGGGGAAGGAAAAGGCCCCTCTAGACAAACTAGCAGCACTGGCATTAAGCAATTACTCCACACGGCTTTTCCTAGATGGAGGAGTCTCTAAGAACTAAGAGAAACAGCACAAATTGCTTGCCCTTAAATGTCACCTCCTATTTTCTTCAGGCATGCTCCCTTTTAAATACCTCTGCAGCAACTGCAAACCTCCTCATCGAGCAAAGATCTCGCGCTGCCGAAGGCCCTGTACAGAAGTGAAAGAAACACCGAGCTTACATTGTGGTCTTCTTGCTTTACAACCAGTCTCAGCCATGTAACATCTGATGTCACTGGAGTGCCAGTATGTGGAAGCACTATGGGAATTGTAGTCTTTCCTCTGTTGTGCAATAGCTACATGGTGCAGGACTCCGGGACTGCAGCTGCGGGGCTTCCAAACAGCCTTCTCACTACAGAGACAGCCAGAGAAATACACCTGAAATAATCTACCCAGGAACTCTTTCTCAGATTGGAAAGGAAAAACGTACTGCAGGCTCCAAAATGCAGCTTCTGTTTCCCACAGAAAAATTTGAATGCGTTTGTGAATACTGAGGAGGTGCATTCGCATGGTATTTAAATATACAAAAGCTGCTGTAGCAAGTTTGTTGTCCTTTGTACCTCTGGGGTTCTGGCATTTGCACATGAAAAAGTAACTTGCTGGGTCATATGTTTTGTTAGTGGTCCTGATGGACCTGTTGTTTCTGTTCTTATCCTCCCCACTGAAAACCATGATCTGCCTCACCTTAGATAGGTATCAATGACAGACTCGCACAGTTTGGGCAAGGCTAGCCCTAGCACTCCTTTAAAAAGGATTTAAAATAAAGGTTATTTTACTTAAAGGCCGCTTTGCTTATTAGCGTGCACATGCTTCACCTGACCCCATTTCTCCCTATTATCACTCATATATCTTTTTTAGGTAATTTAGTTATGTACTACCACCTTCTGCATATTTTTCCCCATAATAAAGCCAACACTTCCCCACAGTTCTTTGCCTTGGTAGTTCAGAGTGAACCCTGAACCTTCTCTCACATTACTATTCCCTTTAAAAAATACATATATATAAAAATAATTTAAGCAAATTAATAGGCCCACACAGATAACGGAGATGTTTTGATCTTTACGAAGAGAGCAATATAAAAACAATACACTTGCCAAAACAAATAATAATAAAGTAATATCCAAAAAAGGCATTATTTAAGCGTCCCCATACAGCTTTTCTGACACATCAGTAAATGGGAAATGAGGTCCCACATCCCTAAAAATCTTAGCCTTCATTTATGGAATTCTGCCTTCGCTTACTCTCCAGATGAAGCTGTAAAGATAAATTCCACCACAACATAGGAACCCTGTAGAGAGCACTTATGTTTTCATCCCCACAGATGACAAACATGGTCCTCCTTTACCCTTTGGACGGGTTGTATCAAACACAGCACCGTTTGTTAGCAATAGTCTATTTGCACCAATGCACACAATAAAGCAGGTTGTGCTCAAGTGCTTGAAGAATTCTGACCTCAAACAATACGCTGGCCAGAAATCAAACAGGGAGAGTCCAAACCTCTCCAGCATACATAATACTGAAAAATACACACTAATTTTAGTAATGCAGAGAGATACTAATAGCCATAAAGGAAGTCTAAAAGCAGAATTTTGTACTTTTTTGATGGGAGCAAGAGGGAAGGACAGAGAAAATCCAGATACAAGCCCACAAAAAAACAGTTTAGGCATAAATTATTCCTGCTAGCTTGAGAACAGCATGTTCCTAACAGGCAGTGTTTTCTGGAGGAGTTTCTAAGTAAAAGAAAAATACAATGCAAACAAGAAGGGCAATGTTTGGCAGAAGAGTTTGAAATTAATCTGGTTAAAATAGATAAGAAGAGGCTCTCAGCATATTCTTTCCAAGTGCACGAGCACCTACACCCTCCTCTGAAAATAACACACAATGCCCCTGTTGTCGGTGCAGAGACATTTAAGCAGAGCCAAATTTCATCAGTGGAGGCTGCATAGAAGTCAACAGGAGCTGCCAAATTTCAGTATATGGAAAGCACTGGAGAACACGTGCCTGCTATGGAAGTGGGAACGTCAGAGGCTTTGAGGAACACACTATGCATGGGACACCCAGCTGCACTGTCACCTAATAACACTGAAAAGACACCACATTTCAGCAAATCATTGACAGGCAAATCATCAACACACTCCAAGTATTAACAAAACTGCAAATACCCATTAAGACTCTCTTAAAAGAAAATCTGCTAATTTAATTTAAATAATTTTAATAAGCATGAAGATGGTCAGATGCAACCTCCTAGCATAAACCTGGCCTCTGCATTGCGAATTCATCGCATAGAAGGTACATTTAAAATAAGGAAATAGCAGCGATTTTAGTAACTTGGTAGGACGTGTTTATGTACTGCAGGCTAAAACACTAGCAGGTTCCTCAGTTCCTTACTCATCATAATACAACCAAAAAAGGCAACTTTTTATTTTCTTTTTACTACATTTACTAAATTTAAAATATTTTAGAAGAGAAAATCAATTTCCAGAAATAAAATTAAGGTAAACAAACAACAAGAAAACTAAAATCTTCCTCCTGAAAAACCAACCGTTTCAACACATTCCAGCAGCCTCAGAAAACAATTCCTTGTCTTATCCGACTGGGATTTCAGGCTGCCAGTACTTGCTTGCTTCACAGCCCTCTTCTGTTACCTTTCTCTTCAGAAATATCACTTTTTTTGCGTGTGTATGAAGTGTTCGCGGCTCTGAGAAAGTGCGTAGGACAGACAAGGGGAAGGATGAGTAGAAGGAAGGAAAAAAAAGTGAAGAAGTAATAAAGAGCCGCTCCACCTTCCCCAAGGTAGATATTGACACGTGTGCTCTTTATTTACATGGCTGTGCTCTACTCCAGCCCGCGGGGGTTGCCCTCGCCCCGAGGGCGCCCGACGAGCCCGCGGCGCTTCCTCCTCGCCTCGCTCCCTCTCGGGAAGGCGCCGCCTCACGTCTCCTTCCCCGCCTCGCTCCGGGTGGCCTCGCTCACGCCTCTCCTCCGAACGGGCAGCCCCGTCAGAGCCGAAATTGCTGCTCGCCACCATCTTATCCCCGCTGAGCGCCGTGAGGGGCAGCGCCGCCTCCCTCCGCCCCGCAACGGCCGTTGAACCGCCTCAACAGCCGCGGCGCCTCCCCCTCCCTCCCCGCGCGCGCCGCCAACACCCCCCCGCCCGGCGGGAGAGGGGAGGGGTGGAGGGGGGGAAGCCCCCGTCTAAAGAGCGCAGGTGGGAGAAACCACTGCGCGAGGATGGGGGGGGAAGGGAGGAACCATTCTGGAGGATGGGGGGGGAGCCCCAGGGCGGCTTTCCCGCCCTGCGCAGGAGGCGGTGGTTACCTCAGGGAGAGCGGCGCTCAGGGGCGCCGCGCTGGCTGGTTTTCTCCCGAAAGGCGCTTTATTTGTTTTATTTGTCGCTATAAACCTGGCCTCGGCCGGCAGATGGACATATTGGGAGCTCCTCTTTTGTGGTGTTTATTCAGGGAACAAGGAATCGTTAGCAGAGGTGCTAAAGAAAGGCCCTAAGGCAAACAGTGGAGAGGACAGGGCACTGTTGTGTTGAGTAACGTACACAGTAACCATTAGGGACAATAGCATGGGCTGTAATTCTTAAAAGTTAAGAAATGCTGGAATTAAAGTGCCTCACATGGCCCTAAATCACTTCTATTGCACATAAACAATAGCAGTATATAGAACATTTAATTACATAGCAGGGCAAGACTTCTTCCTCAAGATCCTCTGTAACACAAGATGCAGAGCACTGAATGAACAGGTACTAAATCATCGTTTTCCTCCTCAAAGCTGTGTTTCCCACAGGCCATTTCAAAGTTCTGCTTTGCTCAGTGGTGTCTGGTGATGGCCAGCCCCAGACAAGCAGCTGGTGAGGGATTCACCTCGCCCAAAGGCAGCAGAGAGGTGAACGTGGGCAGCTGCGCAGCCTTCGGCTTTTTTAATCTTTAAATAGCCCTAATATCCACCTGGTGCTTCTCTCCCTCAGCTGCCGAGGGATGAGCACAGATGTTTCCATCTGCTTCCACCTGGGTGAGAGTTTCAGAGTAAGCACTTAAACGATCCATAAGGTTATCAGCAATTGGGGGAAAGACCTTTACGGAGGTGATCCTTAATATTTAGCTTGAGCTATGCAGAAGGTGCCTGGAAAGCAGTATCACCTCTGTGGTTTCCATCTCAACAAGTTTTCCGTGTTCCTGTGGACATCAGTTATCAGAAGCATCTCCAAGGATGTTGCAAACACATAGTTGATGTGACCAAGGAGGTCAGCACATGTTTCTCCCATTTAACAGCTCTATTTAACATTTTAATTAATTACCTTTCATACCTTCAGGCCACAGCGATTTCCTCTTGCACTTTGGTTTCCCTCAGTGGAATGCGATTTACTCCACTATTGATTGCCCTTAAGGCAGATGCTGCAGCAACCTCAGACAACCAACATCCCCACCTTGCAACCCGAGCACAGCTCAATACATGAGTAATGGAGCAGGCTGGATGGGAGAATAATGGTAGAATAGGAGTGTGAGGATCGGGGCTGCCCCTGAAATACCCACCCCATCCTTTTTCACCTCCTATAGTCCTGTAGTACCTCTGGAAAATATAATAAAAAAATGCATGTGGTCTAAACATCCACCTTTGCCACTCTAAAAATAATGCAGCAGTTGGTAACATAAAAGCGTTTCAAATACTCAAGAAGACAAAAGAACCCCATGTGCAGCAGGAAAGGAACATAGTGCTTTTTCATGCTGCATGTATCATAGCACAACATAACTCTTCTGCAAGGACCATGCACGATGTGTGGCTGGGAGGAAAAGCTCCTCCTGGCAGAGCAGCATGAACACAGGCACCATAATTTGCTGTTGTCACTGTCAGAGGATGCACAATGTTTTAACTTATTTTTCCATCACAAAGACTGCATTAGCCACCCAAATCCTGACAAGAGATGTAACACATAGTGTAAAGAAATTTCCACAGCTAAAACTCCTTGGGGATATGTTTATTGTCAACAAACAACAACAACAAAAAACCACTCTTCCATGATATATATCTTCCCTAAGTAAATAAAAGCTTGAGTCCCTTTCATACATGTAGAACTGAAATTACTGATACAATGAACTTTTAATGAGATATTCCACAGAATCATTTTACAACAAGCAAAAGGATTTTTGATCAATATCATCATCTTTCACAGATAAATTTCCTTCACAGTAATGGCTACAGCTATACAGTGACAGGATGTGCTATGGATGGATTTTCTTACAAATAAGCAGACAAGAACTTTGTACCAGAAATGGGCACATAATCTACTTGTCGTTCTCATTACCCGCTTCTTCACACATATCATTTCTATAACAAATCCATTACATGCCTAGTGTAATGTAAAAAAATTATATATATAAATCAGTGCAGGTTGACAGGCGGAGGAGGCACAGAGTGGGCTTGGGAAAGGTAATAGAGGGGAAAAAGTGATTGTGGAAATAGGAACAAGTGCAAAGGCAGAAGAGCAGCAGGAGCCAGGGAAGAAAAGCAGCAGCCTTTCCCTGAACAAAACCAGTAGGAATAGTGATGAGAAAAAATACCCATCCAGCAAGTTTAATAAGAAGCTCAATGCAAGGAATATTTTGCAGCGAACACTTCAACCTGAGTTTGACAAAGACTTAGCAAATCTAAGTGCATCAAACACAGTCTCAATCAAGGAATTTGTAATACTACAACATGGTTCTTCTCAACACAAACATCCAGTACACACAACGATGAAACTCCAGTCACTTCTTGCAGCATCTCAACACACGCAGCACCATGTTCAGAACAAGAGCCCAGCAGTAGGTGGCACCACCCAAATAAATCATGGGCGCTTTCACAGAAAACTTGACCTGCTGGATATCCCCTTTAGATGCCAACGCAGTCCATTCTTTTATAGACTTCCATATAGAACTTAGGGAATCTTGCTAGGGACCAGTACCACAATAACCACAATAATAATTTTCCCTGTGTCAGGAATAGTTAGCAGTAACCAGCCTCTCTGCCCTCCTTCCGAGGTTATTCTGTGCAAATTAGAGAAAATGGTTGGGCCATGAGGTCAGCCTGAGGATCTTCCATATTCCATTGCCTAGAAAAGTCCAGTCCCACGTCTCCCCTATATTCCTTAATGGAAAAGGCAGAGAAACTTTATGCACTTCCCTGTGCACCTTATCTTCCAAGGATCTGCCACAAAGTGTTCACAGATTGTTCTCCTTCCATCAAAAACTCATGGCTGCTTTGGCTTCCTGGAAGATGCTGCTAATTCACTCTCCAATCAAACACTGCACATGGGAGCTGAAGGCAGAGTTACCTTCAAAAAGCTTCTGGGACAAAATATCTTCTCACTAAGGCAACTGTGTGGGAAGTGGTTCCTCGTTTATTTGCTGGCAGTTTTTGGCCACCACTCAGGTATAGTTGCAGTGAGCTTCACTTTTCCATCCGGCACATTGAGGTAAAGTGGTTCGTTTACATTAGCCAACCTCAGCAAAGCTATTCCAAGTTCGCCGTCTCCAGCCCGGAACTTGCCAGCTGATTTTCCCGATTCCGTTAAGATCTCCGCGCCCTCGGGAATGCTTTCTGAGGGAAGAGAAGTTGAAAACTGAATTGGCAACAGACGTTTGCGAATGACACCCATGTGGTGCGTCCGGGCTGTTAACTCCTGTCCAATGTAGCAGCCTTTGGTAAAGCTGATGCCGTTCATGTAGGCCAGGTTTGATTCCAGCGGGAGGGCTACTCCGGGAGGGAGATCTTGCACCCCTTCAGGAATTCCTGGGAAAAGAGCAAAACAACAGACAAACATGGCAAGATACTCAATATTTTAGCTTTCAGGAGTATGTCTGCTCTGTGTGCTATAAATATCAAGATAACCTGTAAATGAGAATCAAAAAAAAATTTTTTTTTTAAATAGATGCAACAATATTAGTTTTTTGAAGAGGTCTGACTCACTAGCAGTTGCTCCAACTTCCCAGCACTTTTCTGTCCCACATAGGCTGATCTTATGATCACTACTTATATGCAGAGGACCAGCATCTTTCAGCCCTCCCCAGTCCGGGTAAACATAGTAAAAACATGAATCATGAATCCAGTATCACGATTTTAGGAAAGCAACTTCCCAAAATTTCCTGTTATTACCCTGGCAGCACAGAAAACACATGGGCTGCGCATAAATCCCAAAATAGTCCCAATGACACAAACTGAGGAAGTTTTACTCCAAAAAAATGAGTAATGTGGCTGCTGCTTTTTCCCATTAATGCTCTGGACCCAGAGCCCCATAACTTTTGTCACGGGCAACCACTACAATGAAATACTGCAATGAGACAACTGTAACTACTGGGCGCTACTCAAAATAGGAAGCGTCACATTCAACACTTGAGCGTGTGAACACGTTAAATGTTTGATCAGCTTTTATGATTTTTTTCTTGTTTTATCAGGGTATGGGTTCATGATAACAGTATTTTTTTTCAAAAAAACGCCACAAAGCGGAGGTTAAGGAGGCCAGACTTTACCTTGCTTATACCTGTGCCTGTGGTAATCGCGGGCGTCCCCGAGGCGGCCTCCGGCGACGACCCGGAGCGGATTGTCCCCCGCGGGCAGCAGCAGCCTGCAGCCCATGGGGGCGGCGCGCGGGTCGGGCGCCAGCAGCGGCTGCAGCCCGGGCGCCCGGGGCAGGGCGAGCGGCCGCGCGCCGGGCAGGACGGCCCAGGCGGCCAGCTCGGGGCACGGCGCCACCTCCACCTTCCTGCGCAGCTTGTGGCGCCGCAGGTGCTGCAGCGCGGCGCCCAGCGCGCTCCCGTCGCACTCGAGCAGCACGTGCGGCTCCTCCGCGCCGCGGTGCAGCCTGCGGCGGGACACGCGCCCCGGTGAGGCTCGAACCCCGGTCCCGGGCCCAGCCCCGCTCTCTCCCGTTACCCCCTCCCGCTCCCACCTGTAGAGGATGACGTCGCAGAGGCAGCGGCCTTGCACGTTGAGCGCATGCGCGTAAAGAGCGCGCGGCGCGTCCTCGGCGCCGCCCGCCAGCCGCGTGACGTCATTGGTGAGGAGGCCCTGCAGGAAAGGCGCGGCCTCGGCGCCGCGCACGCGCAGCAGCGCGCGGCCGAGCGGGAAGCAGCGCGCGGCGGCCTCCGCCGACGGCGGCGGGGTGGGGGGGGCGCCGGGGGCGCAGCCGTCACTCGCGGATGCGACCCCGCTGCCGCCGCGCCGCCACAGCGCGCGCAGCCGCGCCGCGCCGCTACTCGCCCTCACCAACATGGCGGCAAGGCCGGCGCTCCGTCACGGCGGCCCCGCTGCCGCCGCCATCTTGTGTGCGTCGCGGCGCCGCCTGCCGGCCGCGCGCGGGAGCTGCGGGCCCCGCCCCCTCCGGTCAGACCCCGCCCCCTCCGCCCGGGCCCCTCCCCTCCGTCCAGGCCCCGCCCCCGCGCTGAGGTAAAGGGTGTTGTCACCTTCTTGCGCGCCTGTCGAAATGTGGAGAATTTGGTTAAAACCCTGCCACGTTACCCCTGGGCGCTCTTAGCTGCGTCCTCCGTGTGGATAACACCGCCCCCAGTGCCCCAAGCGTCCGTGGTGGTTGTGTGGAGCAGCAGGCGCTCTTGGTGTCTGAGTATCCTCTGGAAATGGCATTTTCCTGCCTGTCACTCAGCGAGTCAGGACACATCAAGGCAAAAATCCCTCTTTTATGTTCTGTGCGCAGAGCGCTTAGGTAGAGCCCCTTGGCCACCACATTCGTTTGTCCCAGAATTCTGAAAAAAACGGGAATCCTCTGTGCACGCCGGGACGCCAAAGCGTGACCTGTGCCCTGGAGGAAGTCAAGGAAACGGCCTAAAATAAACCAACATACTGTTTATTTCTTCATTGTCCAGCTCCTCACTGAGCACCCGCACTGCAACGCGTCCCTCCTGGCTGCCAGTGCCCTTAGTCATCCCTTCCTCTGTGGAGCCTCCGATCCTCTGGAAAGCAGGGCAGGATTCGGAGTCCTTCGGTGGTATTTTAGCCAGCATGTTGGAAAACCACCATGCCAAAGGCTTCGTTTCATCTTCATTTCATTTCATTTCATTTCATTTCATTTCATTTCATTTCATTTCATTTCATTATTTCATTTCACTTTTGGAATTGGGACAGGTCTGAAAGTCCAGGGTCTAAAACGAGCTGTGTACAAGCAGAATCCAACAGCTGGATCCAGCTTTGGCCCATGGTTGGCCATGGAAGGTTGGGTGGCAATAGGAAGGTGAAAATGGAGAAGAACCAGGAAGCCAATTTCTGAGTCTATTTGTCTTTTTTACAGCTTTTTTTCACTTTTCTATAGGATGCCCTTTGAAACTCCTATGCTGCCTAAAAAAGAGTATCCGAATATGTCCAGGGGTCCCTTGTTGTGTTTTTAAAGGAAAACCTCCGGGTGCAGCACAACAAATTGCTGTTTCTGCTGTTTTTTTTCGCCTCCCTGCCCAGTTTTTACCCCCGGCACGAGGCTCACACATGGACAGCGCTGCACACACGTGCCCTGCTGCTGAGTGGGGTTGGCAGGGGCAGTGGGGAATTGCCGAAGACAAATTCCCTGCTCTATTCAGTCACCTTTGGCCAAATTCCCTGGGATAAAATACCTGGCGTTAAATCAGGGAAATAGTCGTCTCTTCCTTGAGGGTCATCACTGAGGCCCTGTGTAAATCAAGTTGCCCAACTGCAGCCTAAAGAAGCCTCCTTTCCCTGTGCTGTCCATGTTAGTTGAAAGGGATTTGGTTGCACAGGGTTGTGCATGGAGCAAAGCGGTGCCCCAAACCTGCTGAATCCCGCCGCACATCCAGGCAGGATGATCAGAGCCGAAACACTTCTTACGTCTGCAAAAACACCATAAAAAGGGACGGAAATGCTCTTTTCCCGTGCCCCAGCTCCGCAGTCCCAACCTGCCGTGTGGGGCTTGGCCTCCCGCCCCGCTCCAGCAGAGCCGCCCGTGGCTCCGGCCTCGCTGTTTATCCATCCGTGCCCCAGCCACGCGAGCGTGAATCGGGAATGAGGCCGCTGCCTCCGAGCCGCCTGCCCTGCGGATTAGTGCTGGAATGAGGAGCTCGTTCTCGGTGACTTCTCAGCGTGCAAACGCTCTCCAAATCCACGAGGGCTGTGGTTATGCAACCCCAGCCCTGCACATCGAATCCTCCCGAGCAGCCCCGGGAGCTGCCGTCCATCCCAGCGGGATCCTGCAGCCCGGCCGGCGGCGAAACCATCTCGTGCGACCTTGGAAGGGGAAGCGCAGACTGCAGCCGGTCCGTGGTTTCAGAGCAAGTGGATTAAAGGCAGTCAGGCCTACAGAAGACAGGAGGATTTGTAGAGGGAATAAGCTGGACACCCCTCAAAAATGCCAAGAGGTTGTGTGGGGCAGCCTGACTGCCAGACAGGGTTTGCAAGGAGTGACTCTGTGCGCAGAAACAGCCGAAAATGAAGCGACTCTCTTTCCGTTTCCTGGAAGGGAGCGATTCCGAGCGAGGGAGATGCTGTTGACAGGAATAATGTCTGCATCATGGGGCAGCTAATGAAAAAGATGAATCCTGTGATCCCGGAGAGAGCGAGAGACGCTCTGGAGTCCCTGGTATTTTTAGCCAGGCTTTCTAAAGAAAGGGCTTTTTGCAGCTGCTCCCAAAATACACTGAGGTGGAGGCAGCCTTGGCCTCTCCTCCTCCTGCCGGCAACAGGAGTGAGAATAAAAGTGGCCCCGTCACCCGGTGGCTCTGCCCTCCCTCCGTGGACACCATCCCCACCACGGTCACCAGCAACATCTCTTCATCGGCAGGGGTTCAGAGGTGGTATCACACAAAGGTGCCTGTGCCTCTGAGCAGGTCCGGGAGTCAACCCAGCAGCTCTGCAAGGGCTAATTTACCCGATTCCTCAGCCCTTGCTGGTTTGCTGGACACCTTGTTATTTAATAAAAGTTTCTTTTTGGTTTTTTTCATGTAGCATTGCAAGGGAGCGGCTGAAAGTCCTTGGACTAATGGCTTTCTTGCAGGTTTCTTCCAGGCCTCTGCTCTTCTCTTTTCCTGGTTGGAGTTATTTGGTCCAGCAAGGAAATCCCCCCAAACTGTCAGAGAAATAGAGGAACAAAATGCCTATTTCCACCCAGAATTTCCAACCCTTTCCTGATGATTCCCCGTGGCTGTGAATGAACTTGCCTGCCATTTACTGCGAGCAAATTCTGAGGTCGTTCAGAAAGGCAGGCGTTCTTGGGAGCGCTTTCCCGTCATTCCCTCAGCTCGAACCACCAGCATCCCCCAAATTCCGAGGAACTCGGTGGACCCTGCAAAGTTTCCCTGCTTTTGGAAAGGCAGGCTCCTCTAAGTGCTTTCGCTCCATGCCTGGAGGAATCGTAGGCAGTGATTCATCACACACACAGACAACACATCCCAAACAACCAGAAGGTCAACTGTTTCTTAAGGCAAAAATATTTTGCAGTGATTTATAACCGTATCAGGGAAAATAGAGCTCTTATGTGGCTAGAACAGGCAAATAGGAGATTGAGGAGAATTTCTTCTCATCCACGTTCAGCACCCGGAAACATGGCACACTTTGCATAACTGTAACAAAACGTAAGTTTATTCCATTTTATTAGTAACGGACATGGAAGAGCCAGTCAAAGAGTTGGATTGATGCATCTTTGTCTTTTGACCAATGTTTAATATTCTAACTAGAGACCAGATGTAACATTTACACTGAAGGATACTTACAGATTCAACCTCATACTCCCATTTTTTTCTAGTACAAATACAGTTAGTACATAAAAAAAAAAAAAGAACGAACGAACAAACAAACAAAAATCCCAGAAACTTCATAACAGCACAGACTGGTTATGGCCTTGAGTTAAGTTCAAGTATTTCCCAGAGAAATGCAATGCAAGCAACAAGGTAATCTGGCTTTTACTGGGGACATCCCCGGCCCGGAATGGTAATGGGAGAAATGGAAAGATGGCCATTTTATCCAGCAAAATTTAGTGAAAGTGTCAACATTTACGATTAGTTCAGCTATGAAGCTAAACCCGTCTTGTGTGTGAACAGGATTACTAACCTGTAAGGAAAGCAAAGTGTTAGTTATACTGCTAGCATTTATTCCCTGGCTGGTGCTGCGTGCCGTTTCATTGAAATTCCTTGAGCAGCTGGCTTGGTTGGGATGTCTGTGAGGAGGTTTTTGCTTGCGGTTGTGTTTATTTTGCCTCCCTCTCCTTTTCCTTCCCAAACAGACACCATAAAGGTGCGACCTCTCTTGCTGCCCTAAACGGACACATTGCTGCAGGGACATTAAAGCACGATCGTCACCTTGGTGGCCACGACTGAGGAAGAACCCAAAATCCCAAAGAATTTAGAGGCCAAGAAGTGGAAGAGGAATGGGGCAAGTGAGCAACTCAACAAATATAATATTAATCTAGCTCGACGTATCTAATAATCTTGCACATTGACTTGCCAAGCTCATTGGGACATTGGGCAACAACCGCGCATCTCCCAAGGCTGCCCAGACACCAGAGCGGTTCTGCCAAAGCGCTTGGAAAAAAATGGGAAAGCGGGATCATCCCCATTTCACGGGGAGGAATCCCAGACAGACTCCAGTGCAAAGTATTTTACACACCTAGTTGTTTTGAGCCCTGCAAATGAGCAGAACTGGCTGGACGGACGGCCTGGAGAGCGGGTGTCCTGTCTCCCTGCCAGACGAGGAGGTTGTATGGATTGCACAAGTGTCTGTTCTGGTTCTAGCACTCATCAATATTGCAATTATTGACTGCCACTCTGGAACAGTGTGTGCGTATCAAACGTGGCGGTGACACCCGCCAGGAAGAGGCTGCGAGGCGGCTGCAGGACTGGCTGCTCATTCAAAATCCTCGTGGTAACCGGTGTGAAAGGGGGAAAAGGCGCCTGGGGGGACAAGTGCAGAGCAAGGGCAGGGAAACGGCAGCTGCACACACGCATGTCTGCAGAGGAGGGCAGGCCCCAGGCCTGCTGTTCTCCATAACAAAATAAGGTGTTCTCCATGTCTACCGAGTGCCAAAGTCAAGGATTGCAGCAAGGGAGGTTCATTAGGGTTGCCCTGCTGCTCGCCTGGGGGGGTTCTGCCTTAAAATCTGCTCCTCTTTTCCCCACAGCAAGGCAGGACACTTCCCACATGCCGGAGCAAGGGAAGTGCACAGCACAGTCCCTAAATTGGGTGACTTGGTTGCGAATCTGCAGTCAGCAGGAGCCAAGGGACCAGCCTGAGTCATCAGGAAATGCTCAGGCCATGCGTGGGGCTGAGGAAGGTTTTGCTATTACAGGCAGGCGAAATCCAAATGGAGGACAAGTGTCACCAGGACTGTGACAGCAACAGTCATCCCGAAGGAATCGAGAAAACCCCGCGCAGCGACCGACCGTGGCTGGCGTCAGAGTGTCCATCCCTCCTTTGGGATCACGGCTTTAAATACATGCTATTTCCTTGGAAAGGGCCGAGCAGGATTCACATGGATGTGCTGTACAGGCTTGTGCTCTGGGTGGCTTTACGAGGATGCAATTTGCTACTGGCAGGATCTCTGCTCTGTGCCTCTGCACCATGGACCCGGGTGCATTAGCTTCCATCACCAGCACCACGTCCCCTGCGTCATCTGAGGGGCGGAAAAGGACGAGTTTCCACATGGAGCTCTCCATGGGACAAGGAGCAGCAGCGCGGTCCTGCCGAGCAGTCAGATATGTTTCTCTCCCCACCACTGTGGTGTGGACTTTAGGAGCCTGGAGAACAAAATCTGTGGCATATGGGGCATCCCTCCATGCGATGGACGTGGGTTTCCACTGACTGGTCCTGCTGGGGAGATCCACTGATCCTCCCTCCGGATCCAACAGATTGTTTTCAAAGGGGAGGTCTTGAATAACAAGACGCTCACTTAGTGCCAGCATTTTACTGATGCCTTTAGTGGGATCAGGACCAAGCCTCAAAGTATTCCCTGAACTGTTAAGCAAAACCATATGGAAGATTTGCAGGTGAATACCTCACTGGGGCTTTCTTTGATTTGTTCATAAACCTACTTTTTTTCTACCGTCACTGTTGCCTGCTGGCATTGCACGGATTTGTCAGTGCTGAAGGGCCATACTCAGGTGTATCCCTGTGGTCTATGGGCCTGACCACACAGGCAACCTGGAGCCTTTTGGAGACTGCTCTCAAGGACATGAGGAAGGATGGTCAGCAAGCAGTTACACGGGGCCAGTGCGTCAGAAACATCGTCACGGGGACCTGTGTGTGACGTTGTCTGGCTGGCAGTGCCGCGAGCAAACAGCGAGTGCACTTCAGCATATGGGCCGCGCTGTCCCTCAGCAGGGATTTACTCATTTCACCTTAAGTTTGCTCATAAACACTCTGCCTGCTTAGGTCCTCCAGGGTGGTGAATCAACTGTTTGGCTCCTGGGAGGCTGTGAGAGCATCTGCTGAGCCACAGGCGTCTCGGCAAGACCTCTGCTCTGCAGGACGCGACCCAGTCTGGGACCCGTCAGACTGCGAGGCAGTCACTGGTTTCAGCCTGTACCAGTTGACAGCAGATGGTCTTTTCCTTAAGCTAACAAAAACCCTACATAGTAGGTTTGCTTTCTGCTTTGGCTTGCTGGATGGTGGCAAAGCCACAGGCCAACAGCTGTACAAGAGACACAAGTTGAAACCACCCTAACAACGCATATCCGCAATACGAGCAAGAGCCTTGGAGCTCGGCAGCTTGTTTAACATTCCCCCTTTGTAACTGCAACCCTTCCCCTCCCCAAAATCCAAATCAAGCCCCGAAAGTCTCTGATAAACTAGGGAAAAACTTGTTACTGGCCTCGGTCCTGTCCCCACTAGTCTTCTGCTGGGTGCTCCAAGCAAGTAGGTGAGATGTCCTGGGTGAGGCTGTACCCAGGGGCTGCTCCAGGAGGAAGATCAGCCATCGTTTTGGATCAGCCAGGTTTACCCAGTGGAGGAGAAGGCTGTAAATTTCCAGCAGGTTGTTGATATTAGGTTTATATATATATATACACACATATATATATATATTCACACAGATGGGTTCATACATGTCCGTATATATACTTACATGTACACATTACATACCCACTATGCATAGATCTGTGCTCCGCCACTATTTATAAGGGTTTGATTAAACAGTAAAACGAATCTTTCAGCACTGACCCTCCAACCTCTACCACAATTTAGCAAACGACGATGTCCAAACCCTTTACAATTTCATTTTCCTGGTTGCTTAAAGGCACTTTCTGATGATGTGAAATAGCAGTTATTTTTTAAAAAATGCTGCAAGTGCAACAATCCCCATCACATCTGCAGCAAGAGCTACCCTGAGCCCCTTACAGGGCAATTCCACTGCGAACTCCTGCTGTAGAGCACTTGATCATATTTGCTTTTCGTTTCAATGCAGAGGAAGAAAAAAAATAAAACCTTTAGTGCTGTGCTCTGCTCTCCCTGTGTAGAGGCAGTCGCTGCATTTCAGCCCCCTGCAACCCGATGAGCCTGCCAGGGTCCAAGGCAAAGTCCCGAGCTCTGTTGCGATCATTTCCAGCAATACCTGCTAGCGCAGCCACGAATTCAGACAGGAAATTAGTCGTAAGCGTGTCAGGAAAGTTTGCGCAGCGTGTCAGCTGTTTTCCCTTCTAATCAAGGGGGCGTACGTTAATTTTGATTACGGATATTTAGTAACTGAGCACTCCCTCGCTTACAGGACGCTCTCCTCGCACTGCAGGGAGGAGCTGCTCGCTGTAGGGGGGACTTCTGAGCGAGCAGCAGCTCCTCTCCCCATCACAGTCCGTGTTGGAGGGCACGGCAGTGACCGAATGGGTCAGATATGCAAAGGCTCTGACCCTTGCTATTGCTCACTGGACGTTCCTAGCCGCAGAGCGGCTTGGAAATAGAAAGGAAATGTCTTTTGTGAATGTACTGGAAGACGACACTAAATTGGTCTGAACCTCCTCCTCACTGCTGACTTCCATATAAAAAATCATGCCCGTGGCCTGTGAAATGAACTCAAGACAACACTGAAAAAAACAGAAACAACCCAAAATGAACCCCCTGCTTACACTGCCCTCTCTCCTAAGCGAGCTATATCCATACGGATGTCTTTCCGTCTTTGCTGCTTGAGCTTCCTTTCTCCGAGCAGGCTTTGGGTTTAGCACCTTGTTTCTCCTGGGCGGTGTTGGCCCGGTTCTGCTCTACCACCGTGCCACCTGAGGCGGGACTGCTGGTTCTGGAAGGCTGCGTGTTGGGCTGGGTGCTGCTGTAGCTCTGAAACGCTATGTCTAGTTGCTCCTGGGCCACTCGCAAGTGTTTGTGCAGGGTGGACAAGTCTGCTGGGATATTCTCATCTGGGCTCGTGCACTGCTGTTCCTGAGCGACGTTGGCCAAGTTCTGCTCGTGGGCCATCAGGCTGTTGGGGATCTTGGTGGACTTCTCTGATTTCACTACCAGGTTGTACTCAGGAGGGCAGGAGATGTTCTTTGGGTAGGCGTAGTTGTAAGGAGGCTGCCTAAAGCTGTTGATTTTTCGGTTGCGAATGGCATCTCGGATAGTCCCAAAGCCCAGGTGAAACATCTCACACATGTTGAGCAATAAGCACATACAACTCACCACATACATCACCAGGAGGAAGATTGTCTTCTCTGTCGGCCTCGACACAAAGCAGTCCACCGTGTGAGGACAAGGGACTCTGTTGCAGACGTAATAAGCTTCAACTTCAAAACCATAGAGAAGATACTGCCCTACCAAGAAGCAAACTTCAAACGAAGCTCTGGCAAGGAGCTGGAAGACATAGATTTTCATGAGTCCTTCTTGCTGGATGCGCCTCCTGCCGTCGTGCTTCTGCTGCTCTTTGCTCTTAGGCTTGGCTTTGGCTTTTTCGTTTTCTGCTGTATCGTCTGAGATCATGGGCTCCTCTTCGTCTGCCTCCATCGGGTCCTCCAGGTTGCGCACAGTCTGCCAGTTCATAGCAAACTGCTTCTTCTTCTTGAATCCCTTGAGCTTCTTCTCCTCTTCCGAGGACCTGGCGATCCTGTGGATGGCATAGCCCAGGTACATGACCGAAGGGGTGGATATCATGATGATCTGGAAGACCCAAAACCTGACGTGTGACAGCGGTGCGAAGGCATCGTAACAGACGTTGTCGCAGCCGGGCTGCTTGGTGTTACAGGTGAACTTGCTCTGCTCATCGGAGTAGATGGACTCCCCTCCAACCGCCGTCAAGACGATGCGGAAGACGATCAGCACGGTGAGCCAGACCTTCCCCACGAAGGTGGAGTGATTGTGAATCTCTTCTAGCAGGCGGGTTAGAAAGCTCCAGCTCATGTTGGTCATAAGGGCTACTCAGTTATAACCTGAAGGGGAAGAAGGAAGGGAAAAAACAAAACTATAAGTTAATGCCTGTGGCAACGGTCAGCGGCAGAGTCAAGCTAGTCCACCAAGCCATGGCCGGTATAGGGACATACTGAACCACCTTGATAGGAGGCAGGACTATGTTGCACTGGATGTACGGAAATTCATAGCAAGACAAGTCCTAACATCTTATTTTATTGATCCCACTCATTTATTTTATTATCCCACCCATTTTGTTGCCTCTTTCAAGACAGAGCTCAGCTGTAACAAGGCTTCTGGGAACTGTACAAATGAACCTAGTGGAGAAGGAAAGGCACCTGGGCACAAAAAGCTCATTAACTTATCATGATTTCTTGCTTGTGTGTCTCGTGCTCAAGCATCCCACGAGGGAAGGAAAACGGGAGGCGCTGGTTGTGGGAATAAGAGATGTTCCCCACGTCACTGCAGCACTGCTGAAATGAAATACTTCCATCAGGTGGCCCAGAAAAATGCAAAAAAAAAAAAAAAAAAAATCAGCAGAAGAATGGAAATAGTTATGTTTAAAGTAAAAGGAGCTTTTAAGTTCCGTTTGAAAAACAACATAAAACAAATGTTTAAATGAAGTACAGGCTGTTTTAAAAATAACCTTCAAAAGCTTGCAGAGAAAGCCATGCAACTTAGAAGTCCTGCATATCTGGGGAGGAAGAGCTCCTAACATCCATTTGGGGCTCCTCTTGACTTGCAATGGGTCCTCAGACCAACCTCCTTGGGTCATCCCCAGACACCAACCAAGACACGCAGCTATTTTGGAGGGGCAGCAGCCCTGACAGATACCTGGTGACTCACGACCCCGTGGTGGAGGCCAGGGAAGAGGAGGTGCTTGTTAATCCCATTCACCTGCCTCGAGTGCATCAGCCCGGCCCCTTGCTCATTGTTTGGCCTTGTGCATCCTGTGCTGCACTGCATCTTGGGGGGGTTTAGGCTTTGCAAAGCCACCACTTTTGTTTCTATTCAGATCATGTTAGATTGTAGTCGGCTCAGGTGGGACTCAGTGCGTGGATTAAAAGTAGCATCAAGGTCTTTGTATAGGGAAGCTCAACCTGCGCCTGTTAAAGTCAGCAGAGCCTGGAGAGAAGCTCCACTTACCCTCCAGGAGACACCTACATCAGCTCCCAAGCTCTACCGACTGCAAGGAGTTCACCACCTTCTTTGTACATAACCCCCTGGCAACAGGCAGCAAATGAAGCATCTGAGAGCCAAGAGTCATCCCGGAGATGATGGAAGCAGAGTCAAGCACAGGAGCATGGACATCACGCGGGGAAACTCAACTCAGGGTGGTGCCTGCCCCAACAGGACTCTTCCCAAACGACCAATCAGGGTCACACAAAGGAAGGGGAAGGAGCTGCATTTACTGGGAAAAGCCTGATCCACACCAAAGCCACCGCTTGGTTCAGCCCTGGCTCGCTCACCAAGATAGTCCAGGAGGTCAGATGGCACCCTGAGACATGAGCCTGTCACAGAATCACAGAATCACAGAATTACAGAAGGGTTGAGGTTGGAGGGGACCTCTAGAGATCCCTTGCTCTAGCAGGGACACCTAGTGCACATGGCATGGGGTGGCATCCAGGTGAGTTTTGAAACCCTCCAGAGGAGGAGACTCCACAGCCTCCCTAGGCAGCCTGTTCCAGGGCTCTGTCACCCTCACAGTGAAGTTCTTCCTCATAGGGAGATGGAACTGTCCTGACGGGATTGTGCACCAGCTTTGCATGAAAACACACCATGTAGGCAGTGGGTTTCCATGGCACAAGCTGGAGCTCAGACCTGCTGGCTGTGGTGGGGTGGCTGGGAAGGAGCCCTCGCGCGGGCACTTCCCCCAGCGCAACCGGCTCCGCACGGGAGCGGGGAGGGAAACGTGACTTGCTCTATCCTCCACACTGTGCCTTTCTGGAATGTTATTTTCCTCATGCTGCGTCTTCGGACGCGAGCCAAAGGCAGCTCGTTGGCTCAGCACGAGCCTCCATGCTGCCGCAGGAGGGAACGACACGGCCCGAGGCTCGAGATCCAGCTAAATTCTTTCAACGTCAAGAGCTCTCGAGAGAAGGCAGATGGAATTTTCTAACCCTGCTATTTCTAGATCAAACAAATCCTCTGTGAACCCAAACCCCCAAATCTTCACACGCTGGTCCTGGACAGCAGGAGCTCTTTGCAGATGGTGCCGAGGGCTGTTATTCTTTCCCTCTTCTTTCCCAGATGGAGAAACTGAGGCAGGGAGTGGGCAGGCAACTTCCCTTAGGCAGACTAACAAGCTGGGAGAAGAGGTGAGGAAGGTCTCCTGCATATCCTGAGCTTCTCAGTTGAAACACAGCAGCTCTGAAAGCCACTTGGGACCAAAATCCCCATCTCCAGTCAAGTTCCAAGCAGACTGGAGGTGTCCAAGTAAAGGAGGAGAGCCCTGACACACAGCGAGCAGGGAGAGGGTCAGTTTGGTCCATCAGCGCCCTGAAGACCTGTGCGGTGGTGGAGTCCACCAGGCCCCAGCCCCAATGGTCCTTATAGAAGTGCTACTGCAGAAGAACATGGAAAATGACCTTGTCAGAGCTGTTTATTTATTAAGGAAATGAAGCTAATTAAGGGGCAAGATGGAAAAGCACTCCCTTTAAGTGGTTTTTGCTCTTTAAACTCAACTGATACATTTCAAAGTGTCTTTAACCTTGCTGCTGATTTGTGCCTGCACTCAGTTATAGTCAAAATAGGGAGCTAAACTATTGGTAGGATTAATTATTTTCACTCCTCCAGGCTTCAGCTTATGGGAGCTTGGGGAGGACCCCACTGCACAGCTGTGCCTGCTCCAGGACACGGTGTATCTGTGTCCAGAGCACCTGATTTATTTGATTCATGCTTAGGAGGTCTAAACTGGGGAGAATTTACCATTTTGTAACTGTTACTCAAGGACAAAATTACCAGAGAGCTGAGGAAGCTCCAACAAGACTTTTGTTGGGGACAGTGATGGTCTGATCTGGGTAGTAATGGGTTTTGGAGTAAATATTCAAGGTCTGAGCTGATATTTTTGGTCTCTCTGACAGTTACCAGCTAGCAGACACGGATATTAGTTTATCCGAATAGTGCAAGCGCCGCCAGCTCCCAAAACTTGCCGCCCTCAGTGCACATCTGGACGTGCAGCAACATCTGCGTGGAACGACCGTGTCCTGGGTCTGTATCCCACGGGCCCCGCTGCTGCCTCCGTGCACCGGGATGATCCTCTGTGCCCACCCACTCCCAGCACCACATTGGAAAAATGCCCATGGAAGCAGAGGAAAAAAAACGTCCCACAATCTGCTCAGTTAAACTCTGAGCGCTTTTTTACCACTGGCTGGCAAGGAAGTCTCTGCATTCACTACATGCAAAATGAGATTTTAATGCCCCTAACTGCTTGAGGACTCTGGGAGCTCATTCCCTTTTGAAAGCAGTTTTCAGGTGAGAAGCTTCCAAATGGTCACATCGCTTCGGCTGAAGGAACGGGATGATACTAGGAGAAGACTCTGGCTCTTCTCAAAGCGCAGACTATCAAAGACAGGGGTTTGAATCTGCTCATGCTTGAAACTCAATTCCTCTGCTCGGTAAAAAAGTTTACAAAGACCAGATCCCTGGGCAAAAATAGGAGTTGTGGAACTGCATGGAGAAGAGGGACTGTAACGTAGGGGTAGATTATCCAGCTGAATGACCTGCTGGAGAGCTCAGCTGAGGGCCTCTCCCATCCTTTCTCCTTTGCAATCCATTCATTCACTGTTACCTAACTTCAGAAGTTCCCCCCACGCTGTGTGATGTGTGACGTGCAAAATCCCTGCGCTTTGGGTAAACGTTGCACTTTGACACAGCTACAAAAGGGGGGAGCTGCACCGTGTTCCCAGCCGACCCCCACCCAGAGCCCGCGCTGTCTGACCCCCACATTTCGAGAGCCTTTGGCTCCCCACTAAAGCAGCCAAACTCGAGCGTGGCCGGGTAGAGGATCTGCCTTTTGGCTCCGAGCCTCCCAGTTATTTCCGAGAGCAACACTCTCCTCCGTGCGACTGCAGACACAGCTGCTGGCACGGGGAAAACTTGAAAACGTGGGTTCAAAATAAGCAGGACAAGAAAACGCGGGAGAGGGAAGCAGAAAAACAAATCCGCTTTTTGGCTGGAGGGCTTTCCTGTCTGCTCCGCTGCCCACCCCGTCCCCGGCTTGCGCAAACCGAAGGGGAAACACGGCTTAGGCTCTACTCACAGGGACATAGTGCTCCTCACCGCGGGTTTCTCCCCCCAATCCGCATTCCAAGGCTTTTCCCGCGCTCGCGGCCCTAGAGCAGCGGCTGCCGCCGCGGTCGAGCCATGGCCGTGTCCCGGCGCCTCCAACGGAGCGCTCCGCTCCGGGCAAGTATTTAACTGGCCGGCAAACTCCGCCTCTGGGGCACCCGCCGCCGGACAGCCGGGATCACCCCCCGGCCCGTCCCATTCCAGCAGGGCCCGTGCGGGATCGCGCGGCGGCTCCGGCCTTCGCCTTGAGCCTCTACGGACAAGGGGAAGGAGCCGAGTGGCGGCGCAGAGCGGAGCGTTGCTTTAAGCACAAACAAGGCGCCGGGTCCGTTTTGGGAACGCCGCCTGGAATTTTGCTGTCGAGCTCCGGAGGCTGCTGGAAGTAAAGGCGTAGCGTCGGTTAGCGGCGCTGCTAACGGATCCGCGAGACAGAAAGCATGACTAATAGGGAACATGTGGAAAACACATTTTGGCAAAAGCTCCATGGGCAGAGAGCTGGTGGAAAAAAAGAAAGAAAGAGTGGGAGAGCAAGACTCGCTAGTGGGAAAAACTTATCCAGGATTTGCTACATGACCAGGTGAGGCTCTCTCTGAAAAAGCTCATGGGTTGAGTAGAAGACCAATCTCCCTTCTCAAGGTGGGGATCATGACGGGGTTTTGAGCTCACGATGGGCTCTCTTGGCTTCCTTGCAGAAGCAACAGACATATAAGGCCATTTGGGAATGAACACAGGA